TTATAATTATTAATATATTGTTAGGGTCCGAGTCGAAATCCTATATTCCATATCCGGCCCACTTTTTTATTAGAGTAAACGAGTACGAGTTTGAGTCCGGGTACTGGAATTATTTCTCAACCCATACCCGGAAAAAATTACCGGACTTGGGCCGGGTCCGGGTTCAAACCTGGCCCGTTGATAGCCCTATATGACATCAATGGATGATCGAAAAAGTTGACTTTCATCAAATACGACTTAGAGTGCCGCTTAATATTGACGCTAAATGGACCTGATCAATTGACATTCAATCTTAAGACTGCAATAGAAATACCGGTTCTTGGATCCCATTTAACTAGGTTTTTTGGCCACAGTTCTATTTAAAATAAATTAAACAGTTTGCTGAAAGTTTCAATGGATTATTCTCCAAAGTATGAGCGTGATAAGTCCAACCATGTAAGAAGCTATGGTTTCTTACCATACCCTCAGTTTCGCCGGAATATTGTAAAGATTCATGTCTGATGGGAAATTTTGTGTTGCTTTTTCTTTTTGAAAAAAAACCAAAAAAAAAAAACGAAGTATAGAAGGCCAAATTCTGATTTCAAAAGGTACTATTCAAACATTATATCGTTATGAAAGAAAGAAATACGGAGTGATGCTACTTTAAAGGCTTGAAAAAAGTGTTGATATCGATACACGTAGTTATGGCATGCTCTTCCTGGAAATTAAGGAAGTGTTGAATTAATTGAACTGGCTAAAGAAAAATCCCTAGTACTTCAATTGAAATACACATCATTTATCAAGTTTTGATATTTGTAATACAAACCAATATATAAGGGGTTTGTGAATTGGGGATCAGAAGTGTTTGTGTTTAGTATCAACATCTTGTCTTCTTTGCTGTGAATTGTGAAGAAGTTCAACGGGAATATTATTAGTATTTAGTAAAGGGCAACAAAGTTGTAGAATTTCTTCTTTCATGTTACACTAAAAATTACCCTCGAGGATATTTCCATATTGGATGTTCCTAGTAAGAGTGAAGATGCTTTGTTTGATGAATTTTTTAAATTTTTTGTAAATTCCTAATCATTCATTGATTTAGAGAAGAAAATTGATGCTTCCGTGTACCAACTTGTAATTCTTTAATCATGTATTGGTGCCAAGTAAAATTCAATGCTCATTCAATTAGATGTTTTCTAAGGTAGACATTATATCTTCATTTAATAAAAAATTTTGCTCATTCGAGGCATTTTCCATGCTCTTTTTCTGCTTTCATGATAGTGAAAAGTGAGCACAGAGGCAGTAATTGGTGTGTGTGTATTTTAACCTAACGGGACATCGACCCAATTGCAAATGGACTTGTTCAAGTCCGGAACTAGGCAGCTGGATCACACGGATGGGACCAAGTAAGATGTGAACTTGTCCATTATTTTGTAGAGAAAGACCCTTAGTCCAGTCCACGCAAACAAATGTAATATAAGTGGACTAATTTAATTACCCAAAAACAAAAATGTAATAAAAACAAGGATTGGGAGTATATTGTACCATTTTATAGTGATCCATTCCCGAGTCTTTATCAGCGAGTAGTTGGATGTGAAGACAACGGACGAAAGCATGAAATGATCAAGCTGATAGCAATTTGTACAATAAAAGATTCCAAGTAATCTGACACCAGCTGATTGCAATCTGTGATGTTAGTTTAATTTCCACACTTTAAGATTCTAAGTTACTTTCTAACTCTTGGATGCTAGTTTTGGCATACATCCTTTGCATAATTGGAGAAATAAAGCTAAATTCATAGCTCTCCGTTCTATAAGAGACATTTTAAAGAAGTTTTGATGTTTATGATACTAATTACTAGTCAAATGATGCTAATTGGGAGGGGAAGTTGTACATTCCTTTGCCTGTTCCTATTTCTTTTTTCTTTTCATTATTCCTTCCCTCTATTGAGATTTCTGAATATTTCAATGGCCTCCCTCCAGATTTCAAAATTACACTAATCTCCCTTGAAATTAATTATCTTGTAACATTAAGATTCAATCAATAATTAAAAAGTGATATTAAGAGAGAAAAGATAATATGATTCCACTATTGCCCTCATCTACTACATTATTTAGTTAATTAATACCAACGTACTTATTAAAGAAAAATACTAAAATTTGCTATTTATCATTAGCTATTAAACCACATATAGTATCAAAAGAATAGTATATTATTCAATATTTTTCACTTGATTCAAGATGCAAATTACTCTTTTCAGTTACATACCCATTGTTAAACATGACATGACCAACAATACATAATCAAAAAATTGCAATCGGAGTATTATAGAAAGCAAACTCTAACATCATAAATATCCTTGTCAACATATTAAGATTAGTTGCTGAAATTTTTATAGTACTAAAGTTTGCTCTTTGTAATGTTTAGGTTGCAGTTTTTTTATTATTTATTGTCGATCATGTTTGGCAATGAATCAGTAATTGAAAGCAATAATTTAGATCTTAAATTAAATGAAATATATATAATGATATACTATTTTTTAATGCTATATATAATTCGATCTCTGATAATAAATAGCCAATTTCAATATTTTTCTTTAATGTGTGGGTTGGTATTATATTCACTAAATAATGTAATAGATGAAGGGCAACGGTTGAATCATGTTATTTTCTCTCTCCTAATATCACTTTTTAATTACTTATTGGACCTATATATTGCAAGGTAATAAACCTCAAGAAAGGTTGGTGTAATTTTTAAAACATAAAAAGTGATCAATGAAATAGTCAGAAACCTCACAGGAGGTTTCTGAAATTGTCCCTAAAAAATAATTTAACTTAACAGGGCAGCAAGTCCACCTCCAGGAAGTCAAGTTTTTTGCCAAGTTTGTCTGCTACAAGTTTTTTAAAAACTTTAGTTACAGTAATCTCAAAAAACTTTTCAAAGTTTTTAAACTATACACTTCAAAATATTTAAAAAAAACACACACTTCAAAAATTTTTTTAAAAACTTCTATAGTAAATTACAGTAAAGTTTTAGACAAACACCCAAAAAACTCACATTCCAAAAGGGATAAAAGTCTTTCTTGAATCATGTCATGAACTGATGAAAGTAGTTAAAAAAAAAAAAACTAATGCTTAACAAGGAACAAATAGCCAACAACGTAATTATTTATGGAAATTGTCTTGTCATTAATTATAACCCTTTGACATCATCGCCCAATGTGAACGGATAGGCTAAATGTGAACGGACTTGTACCCGTAATACGAACACCATTGACTGGTGATTTGTATCATAAACATCAGAAGAACTTCTTACAACGACGGACGGAGGGAGGTTGGGTGGGAACAAAAGGGTCCATTTGGAAATGCGAATTGTTCAAAGTCCAGAACTAGGCAGCTGGATGGGAGTCAGACTAAGATGTGACCTCTAGGGAATTTGCAGTGGCAGGTTCGGATGAGAAAACACGCTCTTAATTTGCACTAAAACACAAACCTTGACTTACTGTATCCACACTTTTTCAAGTCCTCCAAGTTGTAGAAGTTCGTAATTATTTTTCGCAAATTAGAATTTGGCCTTAATACTTTTTATTTTTTTGTGGAAAAAGAAGAATCACAAGTTTTCCCCTCAAACATGAATCTTTAACAGCACTTCAAGCAGTATCTAATGGAAGTTGACTTCTTTAATATCAAACTATATAAGTTATTTATATTATTGTTCTGTCTGCTTTCACATTCAACAACCTTACGATACAGACATATCCAATTGTAAGATAGAAAATAGATAGAACCCCCCCCCCCCCCCCCAAAACAAAAAAAACCCCCCACAAAAACAAAAATAAAAAAACATGATTAAAAAAAATACAAGTTGATTAAGTTGGTTCAACAGAACCTTATTCATTTTATATATAAAACTCTTTTTTTGTTAATTTCTATGTAGAATGGAGAGTTATAGATTTAAATTTGTGTTTCCAATAATGCAAGGGTATATGCTAAAATTTGCATCTAAAAGACTTTCATGGTGCTTTGAATCTGAGGTGTAGACTGTAGAATATCACAGGTCGTTGCAGTCTACTTGGAATTAGCTTGTCCGATAAGGCGCGGGAATAGATGAATAGAAAATAGATAGAACCCAATCCATTGCATTTTGTTTATGGGTATATTATTCCACCTGAATTTCTTAGCATCGACAAAATGGTGGAACTTGACAGGTCAAGTCCATATGTTACCCTTTTTTTTTTTCTTCTCAAGTGAGAAGATTCCTCCACTTACTTTACTAGTCTTTCTCTGCCTAGTTCCGGACTTAAACAAGTCCCATTTCCAATTGGGTTGATCTCTTGGTTAAAAAGAATAATATATATTAGTGATCAATTTTCAGTATATATCATATCATGAAAGCAGAAAAAGAACTATTACTTTTCTTTTCCTTTCTAATTGTTGTGAGCACATGAATCAAAAACATATAATTTTCATGTTCAAGTCTAATATCTGTATCATTTGTCCTGTGTTTTCCTATCAGAAGTTCCACTAAAACTATATATGACATCTAATACTATAGCAGAAATTATTTTGCATGTGATGATTCATAAATGTGACATCTAATACTATTATTTTGTCATGCCCCAAACAAACGAATATCTCAACTCTTGAGATACCTGTAAAATAATTTAAATATTCAAGATTTGTAGAACGTGTAAAATAATTTAAAAAAAATATGCATTAATCGATTCCAAACAACTTCTACCCTCTTTTGTTAGCAAACGAAGCATGACAAGTAAATGTAATTAAATATTTTGCGTGCACATATATGATTTATAAATTACTGATAATACAACTACTGCAAAGATCTCTATACAACAAAATTGACGCCAAAACTCGAATTTGCATCTGGATTCAACAAGATCCGAGGGATTCTGATATAAATCTACTCGTACAAGCCTATGCCCATTATCCAGATCCAAATCTAGTATGTCAATCGAATCCGAGTCTGGATCTCCTTGTTTCAGCTAAAATCGACCCACTTAGACCAGACATGTAAAGGTCAATAATGTCGGCATAATTTTTGTCTTTTTCTAGTCAACAGATTGACTTTTGCAATTTAGTAAAGTAACTCCACAGGAAACCACAAAAGCCGGCAACTCTTGTGGTTCCTGAGGACCTTAATAAACTATCCAAATCCCCCTCACAAAAGCCGGCATAATTTTTGTCCCTTGTCAAAAATATTAGCAACAAAATCTTGGAATACAAAAGACGGGCACCAATGCGCAATGGTTCTTAGAATTTTAAACGGTGGATGCTCAGCTTGGCCTCATTTTTGCATTCGAATTATTTAAGGTTTAAATAAGGTTTGATAACAGTTTGTACGTTGTTTATAATACCGATATTTCAATTACCTTTTTCTACTCGTATTCGTTCCTGTCAACTGCTGGATACTTTCTCTCCTTCCTCTCCCATCTCCTTTCATCCGTCAAAACAGGCCTCAAACCCGCTTCTTCTGGTAATCTTTTCGAGGCACATACCAAATCAATGCCTTCCGTATTTGAGCTGTCTCAACTCTTGTAGCTCAACAAATTAAATAAACCCCAGAATCTATAACTGCTATGGTTCTCATGCATATTTGAGCTCCAAAACAGACAGTAGGTTCAACCAGTTCTGATACTGACTATATAATTAGTTGCAGAAAGCAATGGATCCTGAATTGCGTAAACTTGCACAAAAAGGGATGAATCCTGATTTGTACGCAGCTGCACAGTTAGGTAATTGGGCTGTAATTGGAAGATTTTCGGGCAAGTTCCTGGCTCAGAGGACTCCAAAAAGAAACACTGTCCTTCACGTATTAGCCCAGTCCCGCGACTCTGCAAATGTAGTCCAAAGCATCCTAGCGCGAAATTGCTGTTTGCTAATGGCAAAGAATGCTCGTGGTGAGACTGCACTTCATTTGGCTGCAAGAAAGGGGCATTCTGGCGTTGTTCGAGCACTTATTGATTATAGTAAACAGAACAAAAGATGTTGGTTTTGTGCCTGTTTTGTCGACAGATGCAAGAGGATGCTGAGGATGACTAATGTGGATGGAAACACAGCTTTACACGAGGCAGTTAAGAACAACTTCTATGAGGTTGCTAAGTTGTTGGTTCAAGAAGATCCTGAGTTCCGATATCGGCCCAATCATGCTATGGAGACTCCTCTGTATCTCGCAGTTTAGAAGGGATATCGGGATTTTGCGGTTCTGATTTTGACGACTTCCAAGTCACCAGCTTATCTTGGCCCCGGTCACAAAACCGCCCTTCATGCTGCAGCAATATGGAATTTGCCAGGTACATTACATTACTAATTTGCATCAAGCAATGAATATAATCACCAAAAGAAAGGAAATTTTTTGAGCTTTTTTTTTTCTTTGATGTTTTTCTTTCTTCACACGTTGGAGAGGGTATTATCAGGATCCTTCAAGAATTTTCAAGGACAACAATCGACCAACCAATGACTAGAGGAAACCCAAAAAAAAAAAAAGGGTGGCTCAAGACGGTGCTTTTAATTTTCAACTCAAATGGGACAGGCTGATACAGCCAGCTCTGAATGAGACGAGTCATAAATGAGAAGTCTCTGTCATAAAAATTAGAGTAAAATACATTTTATCTCACTGTAATTCAACGATTTTTCACATAACTCTCTTTAGTTTCAAAAATAATATATAACCGATCATGATTTGGATTAAAATGTCAAAATAACGGAAATGATCCTTTGTAACTGAACCTACAGAAATGTCGAGATTACTCTTATTTAAAAACTAAAATGGTTGAAATGACCAAAATACATAAATATATATGCATGACACTTTAACCTCTTATGGTTCTATATTTTACCATATAATTCTCTTATGATTTAGTATTTTACTACGTAACCTCTTTATGATTTCAAAATATTTAGATAATTTTTCTGTGGTTAATAAATAATTTTTAACTTTACATACGGGTACTTTTGATATTTTAGTTGATTCTATTATGGAATACAAATTCCATTACTTCAATATTTTAGTCCATCCCACGAAAGAGTTATGTATAGTTTTTAAAACTACAGGATATTATATGAAAAGTGCTAAATCACAATGGATAAAGTATATTTTACCTGAAAGATTAACATCCAACTTTAGCTTTTCTTTTTTTTGGGACCAATTAAAAGAAAGCAACACATTCAACATTAACCTGGTACTTTTCCCAAGTCCATTTGAGAATGGTAAGAAGAGTGCATGCAATAACAAGGAAAAAACGACTTACATGCCTTCGATGTGCATTTGAAATCGAAAAAAGTTGTTCACATCCAAACAATTTCAAAAAGATTGTATTCTCATCAATGAAACCTACTTGTAATATAGACAACTAGGAAATTTCCTTTGCAAATGTCTTCAAATTTACATATGGATGCTATTCTACCACATCCACTATCATGGAACCAGAAATTTAGTATTGAGGAAAGATGTATGCTTGATGGTGTACTTTTTAGATTTCCGTAAAAATCTTAGGGCCAGAACACTGATATTTGCGATGAAAAATGTTACTTTACTAGAGTTTAAGACATGAGCTCTTTTTTTAAAAATTTTTTTTTAAAAAAAAAAGATATGAGCTTTTTTTTAAGGTGAATTTATTGAAAATTGAGATTTAGACTAAAAAGTAAATATGAGTTGCTGAAGTTAAGAGAAGAATAACAGAGACAAATGGATTTTGGAGCTGTTTGTGAGGGAAAAAAATTAAAAGTTGTAGCCTTGCAAGGAAAAAAAATGTGGTCGGTTTTGTAAATTATTGGCACATGCTATTTTGAATAAAAGATTCCAACTACTTCAATGCAATAGCAAATTTGGTCTTTCGATAATCTCAAACGATCAAATGATGAGCTGACTTAGTGAACATACAAAAATGGCATAAATGATATATAACCCTGTGATGACTTAGGATGCGTCTGATAAAACTGAAATTTGAAAACTTAAGTCTGAAATTTAAAATCTGAAGTCTGAATTCATTAAATTATTAAATATTAAATATAATATATTTGAGTGGATTTCACATTCATTGATAAATTAATAACTTATTACTTAATTTTGGAAGCAAATTTTGCCTAGAAAATTCAGTGCCACTTAATTAATTCAAATGTTCAATTTTTTATTATCAAACGGTGTAAATATATTAAGATGTGAATCCATTAAATTTAAGTGCTGAATTAGGTTATCAAATAGAGCCTTAGTATATGATTTATTTATTGGAGGGAATGGTAGCGGATAGGATATCCTCTGAAATCTTTTTTACTAAACTCTTACCCATTTAGATAAGTCCCTTACCCAACTATATTAACTCTACTAAACTATATTAAGTAACTCTACTACCCATTCAGGTAAGTCCCTTCCTAAACTATATTAAGTAACTCTAAATTCCTGTTACTAAAAACTTCATGGGATTGGATTCAACCACCGGGTACCATTTAGCACTACTTAAACTTGTCAAATCAATCATGAAATCAAAATACATGCATCTAAATAGTTGAAAAATCTAGAAACTGATTTTGTTAATTTAAAATTTTAATACATCAAAAATCAAAACACCGCATCAGAGTAACAACAGGGGATAAACTCAAAGTTTAACAATCCTCTCACATATAACATAGCGAAAAGAAATATCACTCCAAAGATCATGCTGAAATGGTCAAAATGAAATAGGAACTAAATGCTACAAGAATCCCTTTTGTAAGATAAATTGGTACATTCTTTCTTCTGACTCCCCATCATGAAATGGTATATTCTTTCTTATGATTTAATCCATCATCTTCAATGGAAATAAACTTCAGTCATTTCACTTTTGACTCCTCTTAAGCACTAGATATGAGAATAAGAAATATGAAGAGAAAAGAATATTTTTCTAATCAAACACTTGAATAAGTAAAACTAAAAATAAGGAAAGTAGAAGGTATGAATGTTCTTTACCTCCAATTGGATTCCACAATTGGTTTGCTGATCACATTAAAGCTTTCAATGTGTTTGGTTGAAATCAAATTCCTTATAAGCTGACCACACTTTCCCTGGTACTAAAAGCAGAGTCAGGTGCAACCAAAGAAATAGGAACGGTAATGAAATCTCTAAAAATCAATAACAAAGTAGGACATTTCATGGAAGGTTATTATTTGTGTTAGTGTTATGTGCTAATGGCTTGTAAGATTGAAACTTGATAGAATATATACGTATACACACACATATACACACTATTTTATAATCTGGTTTTTTCCTATCCGTTGCCATTCCTATCTACTAATCATTAATAACTAATCCTAAAATGACAATATGAAGTTTCACTTGAGTACATCTCAGTTGTTGTAATTGATTCTTATGGTTTAATGAACTACATTATCTTTAACTAAATATCTGCTGATTGCAGAACTCGTGGAGCTGATTTTGGAAAAGCTGCCTAATCTTATCAAAAAGGTGGATAAATTTGGATGGACTGCACTTCACTATGCTGCTAAGCTCAATCATCCTGCTAAACTCAATCATGAAGATGTGGCAAGGCTATTATTATCTGCTAAGAGGTCTGCGGCTTATGTTGCTGCCCGCAATGACGACTCCGAGACTGCTCTACATATAGCGGTCATTCATGGACATGTTGCTGTGGTGCAAGAGCTGTTATCCCATTGCCCAGATTGTTGGGAGAAATATACTCACAGACGTCAGAATATCCTTCACCTTGCAGTAAAATATGAACAAAGAGAAGTGCTTGAATTCGTCCTGAAAAATTCCTGGGCTTCTGAACTCATCAATCAAAGGGATAATACAGGAAATACTCCTCTCCACCTCTACGTTGCTACCAAAAACTTAGATGGGAGTAGCCTTGTAAAACACCCTTCTGTCGATGTCAATTCTTTTGACAATTCGAACTCGACGCCATTAGACAACATATTACAGGCAGATGAACTTTCACAAAGACGGTATAAGATGAACTTTTTTTTCCACTCCTTTGCATGGTCACGTTGACTATTAAAAAGTTCTGTCAATTTTTCATATATGATACTTGACTTACAAGATTTTACTTTTAGAAAAATAAGAAACTTGATTTTGTAAGTTATGAATATTCTTAGCCACTAATTCTCTCAAGTCCATCGTTACTATATTTGCTTATACTTAAATTTGAGGTATCTTTACCCCTATTTTTTAGACACTCATTTTTAAAATCTTAGGCCGTGTGTCTGTGATGCTACTGGAATTCTTTCAATTTATGTAGAAAATATTGTGATGCACACTTACATCATATTATTGTTAAGTCTTAATTTTAGTTTTTCTTTAAAAAGTGTTAATTCCATTCATAAATACACTAGACATTTTTAAAAAATATACTACATTAAATCCTATAGAAAATAGAACAATTGAACACGAACTCACCAATGTATAAATGCAGTTGCTGCATGGCTCTTTATAAACCAAGAAGAACACCGTATGGTTTATGAAAAAGCAAAAAGAAGAAGAAGGAAAAGAAGTGCTGTTTTCGTTTTAAATTTCAAAGCTAATTTAAGGAAAAGTAGTGCTGTTTTCGTTTTAAATTTCAAAACTAATTTCTTAAACTCGTGTTTCTCTATTCTCTTCTTAAACTCCCCCCCCCCCCCCCTCTCTTTTCACATCAAGTCTGCTTTGAATGTAAATTTTCTATTTTGATTTCTAATCACTATTATCTAACTTACTTGTTTAACTTTCCTCGTCTAACTTACCTTTAAAAATTCTAATCACTATTAGGTTTACAGTTTAACATTTTAGTCCATACAAAATTTGAAAACACGATGCTTTCAACCGGGCAAATCAATGATGGTTTTGCATATTATCTAACATCCTTATCTAACACGTGCAAGTAGTGTTGGAAGAGTCGCTTCATATTTTAGCGGTCCAATGCAATCAGCGACCTCATTGTTACAATTTCGTTTTTGACAGATTTTAATCAAGGATGAGTTGGAGCAAGCAGGTGGCACTCGAGGGTATCGAAATGTTGCTACCGTAAAGAAGAACTTGCGAGTATCTAATCCTGATGAAGTAAAAAAAGTGGAAAAACTGGCTGCGAATTTTTCAATTGTGGCTACACTGATCGCAACAGTCACTTTTGCAGCTGGTTTTACAATTCCAGGTGGGTACTACAGTGACGGTCCACACAAAGGCATGGCAGTTCTAAGCAAGAAAGCAGCTTTTATTACATTTGTTATTTCAGATTCCTTGGCAATGTTTGCCTCCATAAATGCAGTGCTTGAACATCTGAAGTTCGTGCGGACAAAAAATTACCGGCTTAAGTTGGCTGCGGTCCGGATAATTGGGTTCCAAATTTCTCGGGCTGTGACATTCATGGTGATAGCATTTATCACTGGCTTGTACGCAGTGCTACAAAATTTGGCCGTCATGATCGTGCCGTGTGTCGTTGCTGCTTGCTTTGGCCTTAACATATTCATAACTTTTAGGCCAAAACGTGCGGACAGGAAATGCACCTATACAACTAGATTTAAGCATAGCGAAACTGACTATGGCTCATATATAGGTCCATTTATACGATGGCATCAGGATTTGGCTGAAGCCGCGGACTAGTTGTGTAATAGTTCAGAACTTGCAGCTCTCTCCCAGTTTCATCCAACAACTTGGGTTTTTATTATGCTTTGGATTGGAGTTGAAAATGTATAATTTGACGTTTTATGGGCAGTCCGCCCCTTTTCTTCCAAGCAATTATGTGGTCACATATAAACTCTAACTTTTGAGATTTAAAAAAGAACATAAATTTCTTACTTGTTAGTTTGTTGAATTAGTGGTACAAAGTGAGTTAATACACATTTGGCTTTAAATACAAAGAAGAAAAAATGAAGAAGAAAGAAGGACTATTTTACTATTAAATATTATGTATTTAGCTTTTTCGAGTTTTTGTAGAAAAATAATATTATAGTGATATAATGTACGTAAAATAAAAAATAATATAAAAATATGTCAAAAAATTTTTCCGTAAAAATTCACAATCCAAATAATAAATTTTAGTTAATTCCTGTTTTCCATGTTGTGACTTGTGAGCCACATTATCCCAAGATGACTATAACCAAAGTACCTAACGCGCGTATATATATTTTTTTTTGGTATCCCAAAGTACCTAACGTATATGACAAGTACGGTAATCTTCTTTCCTACAGTCGACGCTTCGGTTAGACACTACATTACGGGCAGGCCTCTATTGGGTTTGGGCACTTGACTTATTTTAGGATTCAACACTTCAATGGATGTCGACATTCAGTGGGCAGATGCCTGAACTAGTGGTAAGTACACAAGTTGTACCCTTTTTTTTTTTTAAACAAAAATTGTACATAAAAATTGAGTGTTAGTTAAGTTATCCCTTGTATTGTCGTTTGTTGGAAAAAAAAAACAAAAAATTGTACATAAATACTCATTTAAAATGACACCTCTCTCCCCAGTGACATCCCCTTCTCTTAAAGTTTCGACTTGCCTAAAAAGAAAGATAGAAAAGAGGACGGGGATCCTAATTCATATTTCCAAATAAAAGGCAATTCGGGTCTAATCCCCATCCACATGTTTGAAAACTTGTGGAGCTCATAGTCTCTACGTTATTCACTGCAGTGCTTTTTGAAAATTGCATCAGAATGGCTGTCTAAAAAAAAACCAAGAAAAGAAAAGCAGAGGAATTTCTTTTATATTTTTGCAGAAGAACCTGAAAAAAGAAATTGTGTTTGCAGGGGGTTTTGTTTGTATTGCAAGGAACAATAAAAATGCATAAAGGTATTGGAGTAGGAGCTGGCTCTTCAAGAGAGTCAATAAATTAATTGATGAGCACGGCAATGCAACAATGAGGGGAAGTAATATTATGGTTCTAATTTTGGAGTCTTTCAAGACACCATCTTATCTTGGCCCAGGACACAAAACTGCCTTGCATGCTACCGCAATTTTGAAATTGCCAGGTGACTTCATGGATAAGCATCGGTTTTATTAACATCATCTATACAACCAAAAAAAAGGGGGGGGGGGGACATACCTGAGCTCCTGTTCCTTCTTTTTTTTTATTTTCATATTTTGATACATCGGAATTAAATTTTTACCTTGTACAAAATTTCAACTTTGATGGCACAAGCATTAAAAGAGATTTATGGAAAATTAATCTGATAAAATACTATTTAATAATGAGTAAATTACTTATTATCCCTCTATAATTTTATATAATGCAGATGATCCTCCTAAGTTTTTAAAATAGCCACATAACCCCCTTGTGATTTTGTGTAAAGTGAAAAATGAATGGAATTAGTTATGGTGTTTATACTAAACGCGCTTTCGAAGCGTGTCTAATAAAATTTTAATATCCATGTAATCTCATATGATTTGTATAAATATCCACTTTATCTCATGTGATTTTTGCATTCATCTACGTAATCTCCCTATACTTTTATACAAGATGGTGAAACCGTCGAATGATTTAGCATTTAAGTAAGGGTACTATTGGTATTTCAACTAATGATATTATGTAGGCTATTTTCCATCAAGTTTTCACTTTACATAAAACCATAGGGGGTGAAGTGAACATTTTGAAACATTAGGAGGTCATGTGGCAATAGATGAAATCACAGGGAGATTATAGATAATTTACCCTTCAATAATGTATTATGTATTGTTTGTACATGTTTATCCATTAATCATAACACTTATTTAATTTACATAGTATATGTAAGTTGTTGTAGTGTAATTGATCTTAATGGTCTAGTGAATAACAATATCTTCATATGGTGTTCTAAAATATTAGCTACTTACAGAATCCATGAAGCTGATTTTGGAAAAGCTGCCCGATCTTATAAAAGATGTTGATAAATTTGGGTGGACTGCACTTCATTATGCTGCCAAATTTAATCATCAGGAAATTGCAAGACTATTACTGTCTGCTGATCGGTTTACTGCCTATGTTGCTGCCAAGAATGATGACTCCAAGACTGCTCTACATATTGCGGTAATTCATGGACATGTAGTTTTGGTGCAAGAGATTTTATCCCACTGCCCAGATTGTTGGGTTCAGATTGCGGGCAAAAGTCAGAATATCCTTCACCTAGCTGTAAAGCATGAAAAAGGAGAAGTCTTGGAGTTTGTTTTGCCAAATTCTTGGGCTTCAGGCTCATTAACCAAAAGGATAATGATGGAAACAGCCCTCTCCACCTGTATGTTGCTACCGAAAACTTAGATGGGAATTGCCTTGTGAATCATTCTTTTGTGGATGTCAATTCTTTGGACAATTCCAAATCCACGCCTCTAGACAGGATAGTAGGGGGCGAACAACTTTCAGAAAGACAGGTATAAGATGTGTTTTTTTCCCATCCCCTTTGCGTGATCATAGTGATTATTAAAAGTTTTTTCAATTTTTAATGTATGAACTTAAAAATTTTAAACTATTACAAGGTTTTATTTTTAGAAAATAGGAAGGTTAGATTTTGTAAATTATAGAATATTCTTAGCCACTAATTCTCCCAAGTCTATCGTTACTATATTTGCTTATTCATAAATTTTAGGTATCTTTACCCCTATTTTTTAGGTACTAACCAAATTTTAATATCTCAGGCCATCGTGTCTGTGATGCTACTAGAATTATTTCCCTTATGCAGAAAATATTGTGTTTTTTTTACAGTATTGTCAAATGTTGTACTTGCTATTTATTTTGGTGTACATTTAATCATATTATTGTAAGCCTTAATTTTAATTTATTTTTAAATAGTGTTAATTTTGTTCGCAATACACTATTTTATATAAGTGTACACAAATTTTATAAGAAATACGATAAATTTTATATTTTGAGAAATACACTACGTTATATATATGTACACCAAATTTTATAAGGAGCACAACAATTGAATACAACCTCACCAAAGTGTAAGAGCAATTGCCACGCGGCTCTTTATAAACCAAGAAGAATACGGTACCGTTTATGAAAAAGCAAAAAGAAGAAAAGAAGAAGAAAAAGCTAGTACTGTTTTCATTTTAAATTTTCAAAGCTAATTTCTTGAACTCATGTTTCTCGTTTTCTTCTTGAACTCTTTTTATTTCTCCTCACTTTATATTTGCTTTAAATGTAAGCTTTCTATTTTGATTTATAACCAATACTATCTAACTTATTTTGTTCAAGGTGAACATGAATTAGTACATTTGAAAACCAGAAACATGACACTTTAAATAGGACGGATGAATAATATTATCTAACATCCTTATCTGTCACATGTGCAAGTAGTGTTACAATTTTGTTGCTCAAATCGTTTGACTGATTTTAATCAAAGATGAGTTGGAGCAAGCGGGCGGCACTCGAGGTTATCAAAATGTTGCTACCGTAAAGAACATACAAGCATCTAAAGCTGATGAAGTAGAAAGAGTGGAAAGATTGGCTGGGCATTATTTGATTGTGGCTACACAGATTGCAACAGTCACTTTTGCAGCTGGTTTTACAGTTCCAGGTGGATACTACAGTGACGGTCCACACAAAGGCATGGCAGTTCTAGGCAAGAAAGCAGCCTTTATTACATTTGTTATTTCAGATTCCTTGGCAATGATTGCCTCCATAGGTGCAGTGCTTGAACATCTCAAGCTCGTGCAGTCAAAAAATTACAGGTTTAAGTTGTTTGTTGTCCGGAGAATTCGGATGACAATGTTTCAGCCTGTGATATTAATGATCATGGCATTTCTCACTGGCTTGTACGCAGTGCTACAAAATTTCGCCGTCATGATCGTGCCGTGCGTCCTCTCTGCTTGGCTTTCCGTTGACATATGCTGGACCTTTTGCCGAAGACGCGAGGTCAGGGAAAGGGCCTATACTGCTGGATTTAAGGATAGCGAAGCTGACCATTTCGCATTTATAGGTCCATTTATACTACCGCTAGATTTGACGAAGCCGAGGACTTTGTTGTGTTAAATTTAGATGGTTACTTAAGAAAAACTTGATTCTTTTCGTACTATCAGAAATTGTAGCTCTCTCCCACTTTCATCCGACGAATTGAGATTTTATTATGCTTTGGATTGGATTGGACTTGAAAACTTTAAAAAGTCCAGGTTGTGAGGTGCACAAACATCCCCTTCTCTTAAAGTTTCGACTTACCTAAAAAGAAATAAAGAAAAAAAAAAGAGCACGGGGATCCTAATTCATATTTCCATATAAAAGGCAATTCGGGTCTAGTCCCCAGCTACATGTTTGAAGACTTGTGGAGCTTGTATCATGCTAAGTAAGGATGATGATTGGGGTTTGAAGATGGAGAAGATGTTGCTCACATGTGACAAGGGTTCTATCTCTTCAATTCTTTAACTCTTGTATTTGAATCTTATGTTTAATTATAATACAAGTATGGTCTTTTCTTTCATTCTCTTCATGTTTTGCTAAAATTTATGCTTAAAGTTATGGATGAACTTTCTATATCTTATTAGTGATATTTGCTTGGTTATTTGATGATATTATTTTGAACAAGTTATTTAGCACTTTTGTTTATCTAATCATGATTAATCGGTCATTAATTGTGATTATCTAAAGGTGTTGTTTCTTTAATGAAAATTGGGATTTAACACTAGTTCAAGAAGTGTTAAACCTAAGGAGTACATTTACCAGAGTAGAATTGCACATTTTGTGGTTTTAGCGACTTCTTTCATGTAATTTCATAGAAGAAATGAGATTGTAGTTAATTTCATAACCACGAGACTAGATATGCCTTAGTTACAAGTATACTTGATTCACTACGAGAGTAGATTTCATATACATTAGGAAATTACATCATAATTAGTTAAAATAATATCATTCACTTAATCGGTAATTTCATTTGCAAGAGTAGTAAGAAATTCCATACCTCTAGAAGCTTTCTATTATTATTTGTATTACTTTTATCTCATGTTTATAGTATAGATTTAATTTCTTGTACTTATGGTAGTCTAACTAATAAAAGATTTCAAAAACTATTGGTAATTGACATTCTTTCCTGTGGGGTCGACTTTTAATATCCTATATTCAATCTCGACCTGTATACTTACAAAAAATCATGTGTGATGTATTTAGAAATTTATAAAAGTAAAACTTGATTATAGAATGAATTTAATTGTTATATGCATACTTCGCGTTCATCAAGTCTCATGCAAATGACTATTGCAAATAGCTGTTGATAACAGTTGCAGAAGATGCCATTAAAAATAGTTGCACAATCTTGAAGTTGAAGCCTTGCCTTTGTAAGCAACTTCACTTACACCCCCTCACATTTGACAAAGTTAAACTAGATATATATTGTTCATACTAAATTAGCAACCTAATGCAAAACTTAAGGGTAATTGTGGAATCGAATTGTTTTCTCTCTTTTGATACCAATTTTATATTGTTTTTGTATTTAAATTGGGTTGATTTGTTACCAACTAATTAGTTTTAAGCGAAGGTTTTCGATATTTTAAAAACCTTAAGGGAAGATAGTGGAACTATCAAAAACCTCAGGAGAGGTTTCTAAAATTATCCCTTTTCTGCTTGCATGCTAGTGAGAAGTGAGTATTATTTGTTATCGTTATTATTATATATTTTTTTAACCAAGATAAAGTCCCAATTGCAAATGTTACTTGTTTCAAGTCCGGAATAGAGCAGCTGGATCGCAAAGGATCGGAGTCGAAAAGATGTGACCCTTTAAAAAAAAAATTCCCCTAACAAAAAAAATAGTGAATTTTAAAAAGTAGGGAGGAGAAAGAGAGATTTGAATTCAGAACTATATGTTAGACATAAGGAGCAGGATCTTTAGTATGATATGTACATTAAAATTAAGAAATAAATTCTACATTAACATACCTTGAGATATTGAAGATATTTTGGAGAAGAATTTCACAGTCCTTTCAGCAAGGCTTCCAATCACCAAGGTTGTAAACTATAACCCTTTGCTGTCTAGCCTTCCCTCGCCTGACTCTCTCTTATGTTATTGTAGTGATGGGTAAAAATAACGAATGTCAGAGTGGTGAGAGGGATCAGGAGCCCTAGAGTATTTATAGAGTCACAATCCCTCCCATCATAGAATTGTGATAGACTCTAATTACTTTAGATATATGATACTTTATTATGATAAGATACAACTTAATAATCACTGTAATTATCAGATAAAAATATCACATATAATACGTCCACATACAACGAATATGGGACTCCCTACTTTCTCCAGTCATCTATTGTCATTAGAATTCTGTAATTAGTTATTCATATTTATTCATATGGTTATTTATCCTTCTAATTAACAGGAGTTATCTTGATAATATCATATGTGGTCATGTAGGCCACATAAATATTCTAACACTATATTCTAAGAACTCATCGTTAGAAAATCGGGTAAGTGATAGAAAGATGCATTGTTCAATGAAGGTGATAGATCCTCAAAGCTTTCAAGTCTTTAAATACACATTTTGGTTCCACATTCGAAGCACCTTTTTTTTTTCGTGGTGGGAGCAGTTCTGTTTTCATAATGGTGAGGACTGAGTGCTAATATTTATATTTTACAACCGACACAATGAACTAATCCAGATTTAATTGTTTGAATTCCTAAGCGGACCTGTAAACTTCCTTTCATTTCGAAAAAAAAATAACCTTAGGTTATTGAATTTGGGCGTTAAAAAAAAAAGGCAAAAGAAGAGGGCTAAGCAGCAGCAGCAACATTAATAGGATCAGTGGTTTAAGAAAAAAATTATACTAAATAAATGCTGCAGTTGAAGAGAAAATTGTAGTACTAAATTATTGAATTTGAGGCGTTTAACGGACACTAGTCCGGCAGAGATGTTTGTTTTCTGAAAAAGTAAAATCAAATTGGTTGGAAGAGTGCCTAAAATCAAGAAGACTTCTAATTCTCTGATAAATGTATCCAAAGGTAGTGAATTCCGGTCATATATTCAAGTCATTTTTCCATGTCCACTTTCCATTATCTTTTAATTTTAATCAAGACAATCATCCAATCGGAAATTATTTGATTATAGGATTTGTGCAGTTGATCAATTGGAGAAGAAATTTGATGCTTCCGTGTACCAACTTGTAATTCTTTAATCATGTATTGGTGCCAAATAAAATTCAATGGGCAGACATAATATCCGACAAAAAAATTTTTTTTTTCAATTAGATGTTTTCTAAGGCAGACGTAATATCTTCATTTAATAAAGAATTTTGCTCATTCGTGGCATTTTTCCGTGCTCTTCTTCTGCTTTCTTGATAGTGAAAACTGAGCACAGAGACAACCCGACTGCAAATGGGACCTTGTTCAAGTCCGGAACTAGGCGGCTGGATCGCAAGTATGGGAGTAAGTAAAGATGTGAACTTGACCCGGACAGATCCATTATTTTGTAGAGAAAGACCCTTAGTCAAGTCCACGCAAACAAATGTAATGTACGTGTACCATTTTATAGTCATCCATTCCCGAGTCTTTATCAGCTAGTAGTTGGATGTGAAGACAACGGACGAAAGCGTGAAATGACCAAGCTGACAGCTATGTGTACAATAAAAGATTCCAAGTTATCTGACACCAGCTGATTGCAATCTGTGATGTTAGTTTAATTTCTACACTTTAAGATTCTAAGTTACTTTCTAGTTCTTGGATGCAAGTTTTGGCATACATCCTTTGCATAATTGGAGAAACAAAGTTAAATTCATAGCTCTCCGTTCTATAAAAGACATTTTAGAGAAGTTTTGATGTTTATGATACTAATTACTAGTCTATGATGCAAATTGGGAGGGGAAGTTGTAAATTTCTATATTTAAAAAAAAAAAAGCATATTATTCTATATTTTTCACTTAATGCAAGATTCAAATTACTCTTTTCAATTACATACCCATTGTTAAACATGCCCAACAATACATAATCAAAAAATTGCAATCGAAGCATTATAGAAAGCAAATTCTAACATCATAAATATCCTTGTCAACATATTAGGTTGTGTTTGGATTGCATTTTTCTAGATTTTTTGTAGAATAATTACTGTAGCGATTTGATATATGTGAGATAAAAAGGTGATAGGAAAATGTGGTCACGGAAAACGTAGCAATTTTTCTTTGAAAAACTGCTGTCCAATAGTTGCTAAAATTTTTATAGTACTAAAGTTTGCTCTTTGTAATGTTTTGGTTGCAGGTTTGTTTCATTATTTATTGTTAATCATGTTTGGTAATGGATCAATAATTGAAAGCAGTAATTTAGATCTTACATTAAGTGAAATATATATAATGATATACTACTATTTTTTGATGCCATATATAGTTCTATCCCTGAAAATAAATAGCAAATTTCAACATTTTTCTTTAATGTGTGGGTTGGTATTATATTCACTAAATAATATAGTAGATAAAGGGCAATGGTAGAACCATATTATTTTCTCTCTCCTAATATCACTTTTTAATTACTTATTGGACCTATATGTTGCAAGGTAATAAATCTCAAGAGAGATTAGAGTAATTTTTAAAACTTAACAAGTGACCAATGAAATAGTCAGAAACCTCACAGGAGGTTTCTGAAATTGTCCCTAAAAAATAATTTAACTTAACAGGGCAGCAAGTCCACCTCCCTTAAATAAAGTCTTTCTTGAATAATGTCTGAACCAATGAAAATGGTAAAAAAAAAAAAAAACTTATCCTTAACAAGGAACAAATAGCCAACAACGTAATTATTTATGGAAATTGTCTTGTCATTAATTATAACCACGATGTGAAGTGAAAAGGACTTGTAGCATTAGTAGGAACACCATTGATTGGTGATTTGTATCATAAACATAGAACTTCTTACAACGACGGATCCAATTGGAAATGCGAATTCTTCCAGTCCAGAACTAGGCAGCTGGATCCCAAGAGTGCGAGTCAGACTAAGATGTGACCGCCACGGAATTTGCAGTAGCAGGTTCGGAGGAGAAAACGCCGTCTTAATTTGCAGTAAAAAACAA